ACTATTGTTTTGAAAAACGATAGTATAATCGTTTGATAAAGTGACTTTTATATAGTGTTGGTCATCCCACAATTCAACTAAGAAGTTTAATCATAAAACACAAAACATAAGAAAAACATTTATATATAAATTTTCTCTTTTTTTATGCATAATCATAAACATAACGTTTCTAATATAAAAAAAAAAACCAAATTATCATAAAAATCAGTTTTTTAAACAAGCCCTTAAGGGTTTACCACAGAGACAATCGTTAAACATAAACGACGCCGCTTCAAGGTGATCAAACGGCGAACCCACCGGAATCTTCCCGCATAGATGGTTATGGCTAAGATCCAAATGACCGATAAACGAAGCACCGGAGATCGAACTCGGGATCGGTCCTTTGAGATTATTATACGACAAATCAAGCACAGTGAAGTAAGACCTTGGTCCGAACCCTTCCGGTATCTTCCCTTGCAACAAATTCCGGCTCAGATTCAGATTCATCACCGATGACGTCATCAGAGTTAGCGGTATCTCGCCGGAGATTTTGTTTCCGTCGAGGTTTAAAGTCGCCAGAACCGCCATACGACCTAGTGCCGGTGGGATTGTACCGTACAATTGGTTACCGGAGAGATCGAGATCCGCTAACCGGTAGATTCGGGTTAGCGATTCAGGGATCCGACCGGTGATCCGGTTACCGCTTAACAATGCACGGCTTAGCATGGTTAACCGGCCGAAATCCGGAGGGATTAAACCGGAGATTAAGTTGTTACGGAGATCTAAATGCATTAAGCTAGAGAGATTGGTTAACGATTTCGGGATTGAACCGGAGATTCGGTTATCAGCGACGTTTAAAACCGCTAACCGGTGTAACCGTCCGATATCGTTCGGAATCCCACCGGAGATTTGGTTTCCGATTAGGTCGAGTGTACGGAGGAAAGGAAGACGAGTTATACATTTGGGGATATCGCCGGAGATACCTTTCCAGTCGGCGATTGTGATTGCGGAGAGACGAGGAAGGTCGCAGATCGCCGGAGAGATTCGTCCGGTCATGAAACCGGTTCGGTGAGCTCGTTCGAAGATAGGGTCTTCTGACTCGCCGCGGAGGTTTATGTCGGCGACTCGGTGAGTGATCGAGTCGCAGCTAACACCGTACCAGTTGTGGCAACAGTCTTGACCGGTCCACGAGTTGAAAATGCCGAGGTATGGCTCGTGAAGAGCTGACCGGAAAGCTAGGAGTGCACGGCGGTCAGACGGCGGACAACACGTGGCGGTTGAGATTAGAAGGAGGAGGAGCAAAACGACGACGTTGAGTTTCATTATGCGAAGATTCTCTTTTTTTGTGACAGTGTTGGGAATTGAGACTTGATGGTGAGTGAAGATGAAGATAAAACGTTCGTGGGATATAAATAGCGAATAATACTAAATAAAATGAATTTTTAAAAATTAAAAAAAGGAAAAAGACAAGATTGGCTTTTTTTTTTCCTGTAAAGGTCTACTTTTTTTTCAATAAAATAATTCAGTTTAGTTATATGATTAGACATTTTGGACTCGTTACAATAATGAAACTTGTGCGTTCGTGTAATCTTGATTAATCATGAAATTCCTAGATTAAATTAGTCAACAACAAATGTCAAATGATGTAAAATCTTTGATTTAAATAAAGTTGGCATAGAACTTTAGTTAACATGTGGGTTTGTTTAATGAATAACATGGGATTAAATTATTTAATTATTATAGCATTATTTATATGGGATACAAATATGTAGAAACATACACATGGATTATAATTTGGAGCACATTCATTAGTTATAAATAAAAAAGCTTGAAGACAAATTAAAGATAAAGACAGGAACTGAAAGTGGGGGAGAGTTCCCATGCA